AACTTTTTAATGGAGGTAAAGGGATCCTAGAGAAGCATTTTATTATTAAATGTGTGTCTGAATGTTATGTCAATAAGCACTAGCAGATGGCCTGAATTATGGAAAATAATGATTTTTCAGTCCAGTTGGACTTGTTTGTTCACCATCACTTTTGTCAGATTTGTCATGTTTAAATATTTTTTTTGTCATGGCATTTAATAAAAATCACTATCCTTCTTGGATTTCTTTAAAAATCTTGCCACCAACCTGACTGCAACTGCTGGATATGTTAAGGGTATGTCTAGAATCGATTTAATTGTAGTGATCTATGCTCTGTCGGAGTAAAACATCTACTAGTGCTGGTGGTTGCTTTTTTGAGCAAACCTGACCTGTGACCTCTTGTAATACAGCACTTATCAAGCAGTTAGAAATAACTTTGACTTGTCTTTTGAATTTTCTTTGGGACCCAAGTTTAAACAAGTCGTTTCCGGGCACGCATTCATATTTTGTTACCTTCTACCATGCTAAAAAATTTTGCTCTTTTTATGTATTTAAGTAATTTTTTAACTTTGAAACTTCATGTAATGGATAGCACTGGAAAAGAATGAGTCTAAAGAAGCTTTATTTTTTTCAGAGGCAGCAAATGTTGCAATTTTGATGATGCTTCAAGAAAACTTTGAAAATAAACTAAGCTGCTTACTTGGACTACAATCTTGCCAGAGTTTTCTAGATAACTGTCCTATAGAATTGTTGCAAGAAAAAGAAATTGATGAAATTGAGGAAACAAAAAAAGATGAAGATGATGATGAAGAAGAAGAAGTGAATATCAGCTTTCTATTCTTTATTCAGCTCTATCACTAAGAATGAAGATATAAATACTGCTAACATGAAATTTTTTTTAAATACTTAAATTGTTCAATTCAAAGGAACTTAAATTTTATAATGAAATTTTGTAAGTCATAATCACCGATGATTCCACTAGACTTTAGAAACTATGAGTCCTTTGGACCAAAGACTTCCGAATTTTTGGTTCCCTTTTTAAAAAATGGACAGAAAAATTTATTGCTAGGTAATAGGTAATTTTATTATGAATAACCAGGTAATGGGACCTCATGACAGAGTCAAACCTCTTCAATGTGAGCACACTTAATATGAATTTCTTTTAAGTGAACTAATTTTCTATTCACTGTCAATTATTTATGCATATAATGCTTTAATTGTAAAGCTAACTGGCTTAATGAAATAACTTTTTTGAGTGAATTTTAATTTTACTATCCATGAAAAAGTGTGACTTTTAATGTAAACAGACACTTTTATCTTCGCTCTAACAGGTGAGGAAACTGATGATTCACATTGTCATTAATACTATAAGTGAATTTATTTCTAAAAAATATTCCTTGTTAAATTAATATTGCTTTGTTAAATTAAGGCTAGGTTGTTAATGACCCTAAAATTCTTAAAAAAATGTCCTTAAAATATAGAAACAAAACTTTAAAAAATTATCTTAAGAGGAAAAATAATACCCTTAGCATGTTTTATATTACCATTTTTTTTTCTAAAAAAATCCCCTACTTTTATTCATAAATTAAATAAAAATAAATAAGTAATTCAAAGAAATATGTAAATAATATATAAAAAATTTCAATTCAAAATTTGTGAAGAAAAAAATTAATTCAGTATCAACATTTTCTTAAAAGGTTCAAAATATTCAGAATTCATGAGAAAAAAAAAGTAAAAAAGAAATAATCTAAGAAATGACTAAATGCATTTATCATTGACATCCTGGCTGTGGTTATAATGTTGAAAATTTACCATTTCAGTTCTCAAATAAAAGAGTTGAATTAATTGAACAGATCTGTGAGGAAGGCATGACTGAACCAATATTCTCTTTTATAAAGTAGGCAACGGCATAAGCCCTTTCTAACTTCAAAATGAATAGAAAGTCTTATTGAGCTTTCACCAGTGTTAAAAGAGACAATTTTATATGGGTGTAAACAAGCAGGTTTTCTCAAATAAAAAGTGCAATATTCTTTTTTTTATATAGGTGATCATTTTCCCCTTACTCATATAAGTTATTTCAAGAAAATGATATTGCTGGTTGCCACATTTCTACTAATAAAAACTAAAAACATATAAAGGACCAAAATGTGTCTTTTTTTTAAAAAAAATTTATTTAATTAGCAAAAACTGTATTATCTGTCAGCATTTTTTTACAAAATAAACCACACAATTTTCTGTACAATTATTAAACTTCATCTAAACCATTATAATTTTATTTCTTTAAATTAATAATAATTTTAACCTTCCAAGTGTTTAGTTGTATTTAATATGAGAATATAAAAATCATAAATGATTTAGTATTGAATGAAAAATAAAAATACTTTTGTTGACGTAAAACATTTTGTGTTTAGGAAAGGTGTTTTAATTAATACAAAATGTCTTTGTATTCAATGATTTCTAGAACAAAACATTTTCAAACTGATTTACCTAAACTACATTTAACATGAACAAATGTTTTTCGCCCCTTCAAATCGACATTTACGAGATTTGACTCTGATATACGCCGAAGAGCCATTACATTATGAGCACCCCCCCTCTATAACAATGGGCTCGCCCAGGTTTTCATGGTTTCTCTCCCTGGAACAATGTTTTCATGGGGCACATTAGGACCCATAATCCTCATAGAACAATCCCTGACCTCTGTAACCTACTTGAACATAGTTGCAGTCCAGGTTCACCCATTCATGGCAACAGTTTTTCCTGGGGGGGGATGGTGTTTACCAACAGGATAATGCACCATGTCATAAGGGTCGAATCGTCAAGGAACATTCCAGTGACTTTCAAGTCATGTCTTGGCCCCCAAATTCACCTGACCTTAATCCAATAGAGCATTTGTGGTCCTACTTGGAAAACCAAATTCGTGCTGCCACGCTACCCCCTCGCAATGTGGTGGAGAAATTGCAGGACCAGTTGGTGAGCGCTTGATACAAGATACCTCAGACTACCTATCAGCACCTTGTGGAATCAATGCCACGGCGGGTGCTAGCAGTTTTGAGGGCTAAAGCTGGTCCTATATGTTATTAACAGGGTGGTCATAATGTAATGACTCTTCGGTGTATATGAATTAAACATTTCAAAATGTCTTTTGAATGACAGGAAAATAATATGTTACATTGTTATAGGATTGTATATCCTAAGCCTATATATCTTTCTTTCAGACTCTGTTAAGAGTACCTTTTATTCGTAATCCATGGTTTGATGATCATTTTGACATAAAAAACCCACAACATCTTCTTGGGAAAACTTTATATCTTATAGGACGGGAGGTGAACAATTCTTTATTAGGACAATCTTATCAGCTATATGGATTAGCACTTTATGAAAAATGGGAGAAAGTGACTGATCTTTTGAAACTATATTCAGAATCTGATGATATTGCTCTGTTGAGTGATGTTGTAAGTATTTTTTTATTAGAAATTATTATGTAAAAAATTTCTTTCCGCTGATGTTCAACTCAGGGTTGCCACAGGCGACTTAAATGCAACGATTTGCAACTATTTTCAGCATGAGGCGACTTTGGCAACTTTTTATGCCTGAAAAGACTAAAAAGGCAACTATTTTCAGGAAAAGGAGACTTTTCTGTTCTCCTAGCAATGTTTTTTAGCATAATTGGGTTGAAAACCTGCTGCCCGTGAAATCTTCTGAAGACACTAAATTTCTTTTGTTAGAAAATGTAAAATAAAAATAATAAAATTAAAAAAAATTAAATAAATAATTAAAGCATTAAAAAGTTTTAGATTTCAAATTTGAGTCATCACTTTTTAATGCATTCAATTTGCATAGATTCTAAGTCTATTTCATTTCTTGATCGCGTTTTGAACGGTTATTGCTAAGAAACTCTGCATGATTTTAAAAATCCCAATTTTTAATATAATGCATGAATTTTGAATTTGAGTAATATATTTCACAATATATATATATATATTTGCTAAATCNTATATATTTGCTAAATCAATTCCGTTTCACCAATTTGCTAAATTGGTGAAACGGAAAATTTCTTAGAAAAAGTGTGTGTGTTTTTTTTTAATGAAAAAGTATTTTTTGAATGAATTCTTGTAATTAAAAGTATTTAATTTTCTGCAAATATACTATTTTTTTTATATAAAAATTTAGAGCTAGAACACTTTTGTTTACATAAAAATTATCGTATTTGCCACCAACGTGACTAAATATATCATAGTATATGACAATTAAGCCATTTAATGAAATTTTAGTCTTATTTTTGCTGAATTTTTGTTCTTATTTAGGCAACTATTTCATGCTTTAGGCTACTAAAAGCAACTATTTTGTTCATTTTTTACTGTGGCAACCCTGTCAACGTATCTATTATGATAAATCAATTTGGAATCTATTTTAATCAATAATTGTTCAAGGTAATATTTAATGCAATTATTCAATTACACATAATTGAAATTGTCTTTAAAATAACTATTTTTTAAATTAANTCAATTTGGAATCTATTTTAATCAATAATTGTTCAAGGTATTATTTAATGCAATTATTTAATTACACATAATTGATATTGTCTTTAAAATAACTATTTTTTAAATTAATTTATATGAATAAATTATTGAAAATTTTTTATTGCAATTGAGGTTCAAAACAAATGTTAAATGAAATTTGGCTCTCATAGTTTTAATGATAAATAAGAGCATTACTTTTGATAGAATTTTAAGAAATTGTTAAATTTTTTACTTATAATCATATATTTTTCTATGTAATCATATATTTTTAAGTTAATTTTATGTAAAATTTATTTTAAACCTTGCGCCAAAATTTAAGACTAAAAGGTTAAAATTTTTCTTACAAATTTATCTTGTAACAGTGTTTTTTTAATTATCTATCATAAAAATGTATTTTTCTTAATATCTTCCTATTTATTCGATATTTTTTTTAAGCTTATTACTTTCTGAATCTTGTATATATATATAGGTGGAACAGAATTAAGTTTCAAGTATCAAATTAATGAAAATCCTTTTAAACTTTTGCATGATTTAAATTAAATTATTGTTTTAAAAAAAAAAATCAATGATTTAAATCAATTTTTTTATTTATTTATAATAATTTATAAACATTTATTTGTTTGTGATTTTTTTTAATGTCTGATTCCATTCATGTTGAAGGTTTTATCTTGAGAAATAATGAACGAGGGTAACGAGTATAAATTATTATTTGATGCTCTAAATAGACTAAACATATAATAATAAAAAAGTGATTAAAGTTGGATTAAAATAATGTGAAACTTTTTAAATGTAATTTCCATGTATGTGATATAATTTGTAATTTAATAAACAAATTTCAATTATACCAATTTAGTTTTAAGTTTATTTAAATATAAATACATTTAAAACTGGTTAAACACGTAATCTGTGTGTTTAAATAATGGAGAAAAGCCTAGAGTTATTAAGAGTAACCTTTTTTTTTGTCTCCTGATCTAATTTAATTTATTCTTCATGTGATTAATAGATTTTGTTATACATATCTATACTTCAACTGTCAATTTTTTTTCTATTTTTACTAATTTTTCAGCTTAAATTAAATAATGCTTTTGTTTTTATTAGTATGTTATACATATCTAATTAATTTTACTATTTCAGTTAAAAATATTTAGTACTTTAGTTATAATATTGTTTTTTTTTAACTAATAAGCAATATTAATGTTTTTATCAAAGCATTGATTGGTATAAATTTTAAAAAAAATTTATATTTTTAAATCATGTTTTTAACAACTGTGCAACATATATGACAGGAAGGCAAAAGAGGTGTATAAACTGTGTCGGAGATCCCATGTTTTGTTTTAAAAATAGATTTTATTATCTCTACATTTTCTGAATGAGGGAAACTTGAATCATTATTTTCACCTATGGGTCATTAAAACCTTATTTGCAAAAATTATTATATATATATTTTTTTTAAAAAAAACATACAATAATGGGAACTTTCTACCCTTTTATGTTTATTTAGTTTTGCATGCATGAATGCATTGTTTTAGTTTTTTTTGTTCTCTTGTTTAGTATTTGTGTGAGACTTAAATCTGTGAAAATGCTAAAAAAAGAATGTTTTAATTTTAGATTGGAAAAGTTATGCATCAAATTGATGCTATTCCTGAGGAAAGTAAAACCTTGAAGGAAAATTTAAGTCAACAGTTTAATGTTAGTTAATAATTTTTTTTTTGTGATATAGAATGTATATACTGGACAAAATAATGGAAATATTTTTATCCTAATGTATTTTTTCATATTTCTCAAGAAATACTTCAAGAATTATTTTAAACCTTCAGAAGTGTTCAGATCATGCAAATTCTCATAGATATCAATGAAGTTTAAAGCTCTTAGAGGTTTGAGAGACTGACAATAAATTACAAACTAAAAATAGTGCTTTTGCACACCCTCAGTCAAAAAATATAACAATAGAATTGTAACTTTTGACAATTATTTTAATTATTATATGCACTAATTGCGCAAAGTTTCGTAGGCTTAGCTTAAATATTTATGGAGATATTGGCACTTTTATACATATAAAAAAATTCTCTTATGTTTTTTGGCTTATAGCCATTTTGTTTTGTTTGTATTACATTATTAATGTAATTTGTTTGATTAATGGTTTTTCACCTCAATAGATAGGTGTAGAGTTGCGATGGCTCAGGGGATAGAACGTTCGCCTTCCAATGAGGTGAACCGGGTTCGAATCCCAGTCGATATGAATTCCGCATCTGGCTTGCACTGACCACAGTGCTGACGTGAAATATCCTCAGTGGTAGATGGATCATGGGTTAAAGTCCTCTTGTCGTCAGGCTAACCGTAGAAGGTTCTCGTGGTCTTTCTCTTCATGTAACGCAAAGGCAGGTTAGCTCCAACAAAAAAGTCCACCACGAACGCAAAATTTCCCCCAATACTCGATCCTGGAGTTCCCTTGTCTTCTGGATTGGGTTCAAATTTACATGGCTACAGAGTTGAGCATTAGTAGTTGTAAACCCATAAAATTGGGTCAATGACGGTTATAAAATAAAAAAATTTAAATAGAAAGGTGTATTGTGAATTTTTAAAGCTCCACTTTAGGGGCTTTGTCAGTACAGAATGTTTTATTTTGAACTTAATTACAGGAAACCTTATATTCAGATCAATTGAGGTCTTTGTTATCAAATGATATATTATGTTTTTTTCAGATAATAATATGCAATTTTCATAACTGTTCTGAATTAATTATATAACTTGTAATGTTTATTCAGTCAGTAGATTATTATTTAAACATAACAGATATTATTTTTTAAGGCTTGTTTCTCTAGGGCTTTGCCAGTATAGCTTGTCTTCTTTCAGACTTAGTGCTACTGAATCTAACATTTAATTGATTGAGGGCTATGTCATCAAATGAAATTTTATCTTTTAGTGAATGATATGCAATTTTCATAACTGTTTTGAGTTAACTATATAATTTATAGCTTTTATTCTATCAATTAATTTCAGTTATCAAAGATTTATGGCTAGAAATGGATAATTTAGTCTGTTTTTATCCAGCAATAATTCGTATAATAATTATTTAAAAGTTTCAAATTGTCAATATGAATAACCATCACAGTTACAAGAAAATTAAAATAATTTATATATTTAATATTTATATTATTTAATAATTAAATATTTTTTTTTTTAATTTTTAAATATTTAAGCCATTTGTAAGTAAAGACAAATTCATTTTGATGAACTATAACTAAATAAACTATAGCTTTTTTATTTTCTTTTGCAAAAGAGTTTCAAAAATTTTTTTTTACTGTACATTTTGTTTGAAAATTAGGTTTACAAATGAAATTATTAAACCTGTTGGTTGTTACTAGTATTATAGCAGTACAATGTTTGCATTCATGTTTCCAGAAATATTTCCAAGAGTTGAAGTCTAAAAACAAAATAATTGATGGTTCTCTTTGTGCTGCTCTTGCTGATGCTTTGAAGGATATATCTAGCCTAGAAAAAGAAGATATTGAAGCACAAAAAAGGCTGTTTGTGGAGTGGGAAAAGCAACGGGAACTCGCTCTCAAAAAGCAGAATCAGGGTATTGATAAAGAGGTAAGATTGAAGGTAATAGAGGAAAAGAAGGAGTATTTATTTTGGAAAGAAAAATTGCTTTTCTTCTTTGAGAATGAAGAAAAAAATTTGGATGAGCTGAAGAAAGCATAACAAATAATTGAAGCTATCAAGAAAAAAGAAGATGTGAAGGACACTTATTTTCCACCTGAGATTACCAAGAAGAAACAGCTGAGGAAGACCAAATATCAACGTTTAGCCCGAGTGAAGAAAATCTAGTTAGGATTTTATATTACTTTTTCATAGATTGTACAGTTAAATAATGACTATTTTAAAATCTCTGTCTTCTTTATTTATCAATTTTTTTAAATACTAGTTTAATGTTTATTAAATTTATTGTTTTCTTAAAAAAATTTATAAATAAAAACTAGGTAATGGATTGAAACTTTTCTGAACTCTTTGGTGGTTGGGCCAAGAATCAAAGATTTCGTTCATCCTACCACATTCAGTCCCATTTCTTAAAAAAGAGAACGATTATTAAAATTTTAGCCAAATTACTGTGTTTTTACTTAAATTCCTTTTTTTTCTCTTCATTTTACATAAGTTTTGTCATGATTATTATCAAGTGTAATTAGTACACAAGTTCTTCTTACTATAAGCAACTAACATTTTATCAACAATCACTTGATACATTCACAAAGCAGTACGCAGTTACAAAATACTGCATAATGACACACTTTAAAATAGTATCCTGTGGCAGGTTTCTTATAAAGAAGTTGAAAGACGTTTTCGCACAATATTAAAAGTGTTTCAAACAAAAGCTTGTTTATAGATTATAGTTAAAGGGGCAAAAAATAGTCACTTCCAGGTTTGTTTTTTTTTCCTTCTATAAATTTCGTTTATGATGCTGGAAAGCCGCTTTTTCAGCTGACTGTGTAATTTTGCGATTTAAAGACATTTGCAACATTTGCTTGGTTAAATCTGGGATCTAAATTTTATTTTAACTCTAGATTTATAAACATGCATGGCTGAAACACTATCCATAAACATTTGTCAAACAGTCTAGGAAGATATTTAGAAGTTCATCTTCTATCTCTTTAACTTAAAAAGTTACAAGTGTTAACGTATTTTGTGCAGTCTGTGAGACGAATGCTTATGAATCCTAGGGTTAAGTGATGCAATGTTTCAGCAATGCAATGCCTCAGCAATGTTTTTGAAAGATACTCAAATTTACAAAAACAGAACTAATGTGAAATAGATTTTTTTAAAGATATTTTTAGCCTAATTTTGGGGATTGAAGTGAGGTCAAATTTTTTATTTTATTTATTTTATTTTATTATTATTTAACAATAAACTAAAATTTGATATGAGGCTCAAAAGGTTTTGGATTTGCTTTACAATACCTACCCCTTTATTTCATAGTGAAGCTATTGTCCTGGACCCAATTTTTCTACATTAAATATTCATTATTAATTTAATGTGTAATTTTTATTTAAAATTTATTTCTTGATCAGAATTGTCTCAATCAGAAAAATTTTAAAAGCGGTTGCTAGTGTTTTGTGAAGTTGTTTGAAATTTTGAGGAATTAATTTGGCCAGTTTTAAAATGTAGGTATGTTTCCTTTAACTTCTATATAGTTGATTGAAATTAGTAAATACAATTTTTTTTCCTTTAACACATTTACCACATTTTAAATATTTTCTAGTTGTGACCCTTCTGGTAATAAATAAACCTTCTTATCGATTATCTAATAGTACATAAAGCCTTATTTATTATTAGACTTTTATCTAATTATTTTTAATAAAAAATTCGTTTATCTATTTTTTGTTTAAAATTAGGTAATGATTAAATCTGGAGGTAAAATAATTTTCTTTCAGGAGAAATTAAAATGTTGTATTTTTATTTTAAAATATTTTTTCCTTCAAAATTTCAAGTATTTGAAAATTGTTTTAGATTGCACAGCTTTCAAACACTCTATAACTGTTTAACAAAGAATTTTTCTTAACATCTTACTACTTTCTTTAGTTTATTTATTTGATTACTATATTCAATGCTATTGACTGAACCAAAAATAAAAATTAAAGGTTTAGTCAATGACAAAATTCTTATTAGACAAATTTTAAATACAAGTTCTGAAAATAGTCCTGTCTTAAATATTTATTGTTTAATAAGTTGTAATTTAACTTTTTCGTCTATTTTGTTAAACTGAAAAAAATTGAACACAGAACCATGTTTTTTTNTTTTTTTTTTTTTTTTTTTTTTTTTTTTTTGAAGTTATATAAATAAATATAACTATATTTAAAAAATGCTTTTTGGCAACAAGATAGTTGCATTATGTTTCTAATGTTCAAAATATTTTTATACTGAATGAAAAAAAATTTGAATACTAATTAAAATAATTAGTAAGTTCAGTATCTTTTTATATGAAGCTTACAATAAATATGGAAGCAATTTTTTTTTTCTTTCTTAAAATTAATATTATTATTTTTTAATTTAATTAGCAAACAGTTTATATTTTAACTCATAATTTGTAATTGTATAATTAACTCACAATTTTTAGGCAAATTAGTTAAAATTTATAAAATCTCATTAAACAATTGTAACTCATAGTTATAATATTAAGGTTCTAAATAAGTTGTTTTTTAGTTTTTTTTGCTTCAAAACAAATAATTTATTATTTTCAAATGAGTTTTTTTTTTCGAACATACACATTCTTAAAAAAAAAGATATTTATAATAATTATAAATCTGTAATGATACTGTTTAAGTGGAATTTTCCACATTTTGACAAGCACAATGTGTTGATATCCTGCATGTCCGAGGAAGCTGCTTAACGCAAATGCAGTTGGGAAATTACTTAAGTATCACTAGGGTTCATTTCTTTGCATAGCTTGGAAAAATTGGTTTTGTTGTAGGGAGCACACATCATTGTACAAAATGCAGCTTTCTATGTGTAGAACTGTCATAAGCAAGAATAATCCGCATATTTAGGTAAGAAAACCTTTGAAACTTAATTTTCTCTGATGAAATTAGATTCTGTTAAGTCAGTTCAAAAAGAACTGGAAATTTGATGATTATTATATTCTTTTAGAATCACATCTATCTATGTATTTTCTATTTGAACTCTTTAAAAAGGAGTGGTATGGAAAATGTATTGTTGCACATTAGTTTTAGCAAGACAGCCATTAAAAATTTTTAGCCTTAATTTGAACAAAATTGATTGAAAGTACTAGAAAAATTAAAAATTTGACTTTTTTTTAAATATTTTTTTTCTCAGAAACTACTTGAATGATTTTGATCATATTTTAGATTTTGTAATTTAAAATTACTTGCTTCAAAAAGTGTAAAAACCTTACACTTAACAATTCAAAATTTTTTTAATCGTTATTAAATAATGTGAAAAAAAATTACGTTAAATTTTTCTTTGATAAATGAGTTTTATAATTGTGCTTAAAATTATTTTATTTGTTATAGAGATATGGCGAAATGTGCATAAACGTAGCATTCCTAAACTGCGTGGATCACATTTTTCTGATGAAAGCTTCCTTCATGCTTTAAAGGACAAGAATCCGAATTTGTTGAGTTAAAAAAGGTAGTTAATTTAGTGAATGTGCATTTTGTTGTGTGGATTACTTAAGGTCATCAAGGTGCGTAGCGTTTTTAGAAAGTGCTAAAAGGTGCTTATTTTCGTTTTTTAAGAGTCCTTAAAGGTGCTTTTTTTATTAGGTGTTTTGAAAAAGTGCGTAAGTTTCCCTTTTTCAAAATGAGATTTTTCCTTTACCATGTTGAATTTCGCTACGAATTATGCAAAAGACACAGTTCACATTGTTATGATATTTTTTTAAAGTGCTTGAAATTATTTTTTGAGTGCTTAAAAGGTGCTTATTTTTTCTTGAATAATTGGGCTACGCACCCTGAACATACTTGAGATCTTCTTGAACAATGAAGATTGTATGATGATCATTAGTTAAGTTATTCCGGCGTACTTTTTTTTAAAAAGTTTTACGCACTGTTTAATTAATGTAATTAAATAATAATAAAATATTAAGCATAAATATGGGAGGGCTTTAATGGACTTGTTCAGATCATAACATTCATCAAGATGATGAAATCTGTTTCAGGCATGGAATACAAATAAATTCCTCACTAGTAATGATGCATGTTTTGATAGCATTCTAGCTAAAATAGTACACAAAAAAGCTTTTGACTAGCAGTTACAAAGTGACTTCAGAGGTCAGACTAGATGGCCGTAGTCAGTCTGTTCAAAAGATTCATAGTGATTGCTAACTGAAGACTTCAGGTGATGTAAGTAGGCCTAGCATAGCTGATTGACGTTGTGCCTGTTCGACTGAGAACGCTCTGTACCCTCTTCTGCTTCTTCCCACACAGGCAGGTGAGGATAACAGCCTTAAAACTGTTTCTGAAGTTGTTACTCAAGAAGCCGTACACACATGGGTTTATACAGCTGTTGAAATAGGACATAAGGTGGAAAGCAGTCCTCATCGGTTTTAAGTAACTGTAGTTCAATTTGTCGAGAAAATCAAAAGATGTGAGAACGTTTGTGATGAGAATGGGTGACCAGCAGGTGATGAAGAGAATCACGACAGCCACTAGCATTTTTATAACCTGAAAACCAAATATTTTTCTAACCAATTCTCCTTCAGAGTAAAGTACTTGTATAATTTTCATCTCAGTAGTTTTTAAATTTATGTCTGACTTTAAGTATTGTACTTTTTTGTGTGCGATCTGAGTGCTTGTAGATATGTAACAATGTTATGAAAGTTTTATTAATAACGTTAAAAATATTGAGTAAAATAATGTTTATAAAAGTGGAGGAATTAATCATTTTTAGTATTGATAGAATTATCGAAGAAATGACAAAATGAAGAAATGACATAAAAAAGTAGGAACTGTCATTTGAGAATCATTTCTCATTCTATAAACGTTTGAGTTTTTTAAGTATCCCTTATTTTCTACTCGTTTACAAAAATCTCTTTATTTTTTTGCCTTTCCTTTTCCCACTTTTTCTCTTATTATATTAAGAAATGACTACCTGCGGTCTTGTTCTATTCGCCTCAATGGTATTCAATTTTTCCCCCATCTAAATTAAATACTAGTTAAAACTATGTTGGTACCGTTAATATTTCCACTTCTCGTACCTCAGTATGATGACGTTACTTGTTACAGTACTGAAACAGTCGTCTGTCCCTGTTAGCTATATTTTTTTTCTTTTATGCGTTAATATTCTATTTAATATTCTTAACCCAACTGCAGCATAGTTAAAGATACCCTTCGTTCTTTTATAAATGGCAGCTAAAGGATTTCCCTGAAATGTTTCATACTTTAAACACGTGTAATTGGAGAAAGCATGAACCATTTTTATTTACAACAAAGAACCAAAATGAAAAATTGTGAAGTGAGTTGACTATCTTGTTCTACTTGTTTGACAGTTGTGTTGTCCGCTTCCAACTATTGGAGTTTCCGCTTTCGCTTCACTTTCCTACTTGAATTGTTGGAAGTCAAAAAATGACGCCTTGAGGGTGACTCTTTTAGAGCTGTTTCAGTTTCCGGCCTAAGTTATAAAAATTTCTTAAGTTAAGCATTTAAAAAAAAAATTGAGAATGTATGTGCACAAATGGAGGAAGTACACTACTGGCCATTAAAATTGCTACAACAGGAAGGAATGCAAATAACAGAATGATATTTATTGGGCACATACATTATAGTTGGAAGAAAAAGTGATTCAATTTTGGAATTTGAGGAATCAGTACTCAGAGCAGCCCCCCCCCCCCCAGCAGCAATATCAGCAGTTGTTCTCGGCATCGAGTCGAACAGAGATTGGATATCATGAACGGGTGCTGCATTCCATGCAGCTTCAACATTATGCCACAATTCATCGACCATAGCAACTGACGAGTGATGGCGTGCCAGTCGTACGGCAACCATTGACCTGACGTTTTCAGTTGGTGAGAGATCAGGAAAACATGTTCTGTGTCAAGGAAGGTCAGTACAGTGCGGGTAACATGCGGTCTTGCATTGTCCTATTGAAACGTAGCGTTATGAATGCCTCGAAGATAAGGCAGAGCAACTGGCCCTAACACATCAGAAATGTAACGGCTGCTGTTCAAAGTTCTCCATGATGTCGCCAAACACAAATGCGGCCATCATGATGCCGTAAGCAGAACCTGGATTCGTCGTGCAGCGTCAGGGGTAGTCGAAGCCTGGTTACCGTGCTGCTGCAAACGTCGTCGAACTGTTCGTGCAGACACTTGTCTTTCAAATGATGTCCATTTGTTGACTCAGGGTTCGTGCCATAGCTGTACAATCCCTTAAGGCCATGGGTATAACATACGTCTGTCTTCTCGGCTGTTAGTGATGGGAGCCGCTGAGATCCTGCACNAGGATAACAGCCTTAAAACTGTTTCTGAAGTTGTTACTCAAGAAGCCGTACACACATGGGTTTATACAGCTGTTGAAATAAGACATAAGGTGGAAAGCAGTCCTCATCGGTTTTAAGTAACCGTAGTTCAATTTGTCGAGAAAATCAAAAGATGTGAGAACGTTTGTGATGAGAATGGGTGACCAGCAGGTGATGAAGAGAATCACGACAGCCACTAGCATTTTTATAACCTGAAAACAAAATAATTATATTTTCTAACCAATTATGCTTCAGAGTAAAGTGCTTGTATATTTTTCATCTCAGTAGTTTTTAAATTTATGTCTGAGTCCTTGTAGACATGTAACAATGTTATGAAAGTTTTATTAATAACGTTAAAAATATTGAGTAAAATAATGTTTATAAAAGTGGAGGCATTAGTCTTTTTTAGTATTGATAGAATTATTGGATGAAGAAATTACATAAAAAAGTAGGAACTGTCATTTGAGAATCATTTCTCATTCTATAAACGTTGGAGTTTTTTAAGTATCCCTTATTTTCTACTCGTTTACAAAATTCTCTTTATTTTTTTGCCCTTTCTTTTCCCACTTTTTCTCTTATTATATTTAGAAATAACTACCTTCGATCTTGTTCTATTCGCCTCAATGGTTTTCAATTTTTTTTCATCTAAATGAAATACTAGTTAAAACTATGTTGGTACCGTTAATATTTCCACCTCTCGTACCTCAATATGATGGCATTACTTGTTACAGTACTGAAACAGTCGTCTGTTCCTGTTAACTATATATTTTTCTTTTATGTGTTAATATGCTATTTATTATTCTTAACCCAACTGTAGCATAGTTAAAGATACCCTTCGTTCTTTTATCGATGGCTAAAGGATTTCCCTGAAATGTTTCATACTTTAAACACGTGTAATTGGTGAAAGCATGAACCATTTTTATTTACAACAAAAAAACAAAATGAAAAATTGTGAAGTGAGTTGACTATCTTGTTCTACCTGTTTGACAGTTGTGTTGTCCGCTTCCAACTTTTGGAGTTTCCGCTTTCGCTTCATTTTCCTACTTGAATTGTTGGAAGTCAAAAAATGACGCCTTGAGGATGACTCTTTTAGAGCTGTTTCAGTTTCCGGCCTAAGTTATAAAAATTTCTTAAGTTAAGCATTTAAAAAAAATTGAGAATGTATGTGCACAAATGGAGGAAGTACACTACTTGCCATTAAAATTGCTACAACAGGAAGGAATGCAAATAACAATATTTATTGGGCACATACATTATAGTTGGAAGAAAAAGTAATTCAATTTTCAAGATATTTGGATGTATAGATCCTGAGGAATCAGTACTCAGAGCAGCCCCCCCTAGCAGCAATATCAGCAGTTCTCGGCATCGAGTCGAACAGAGATTGGATATCATGAACGGGTGCTGCATTCCATGCAGCTTCAACATTATGCCACAATTCATCGACCATAGTAACTGACGAGTGATGGCGTGCCAGTCGTACGGCAACCATTGACCTGACGTTTTCAGTTGGTGAGAGATCAGGAAAACATGTTCTGTGTCAAGGAAGGTCAGTACAGTGTGGGTAACATGCGGTCTTGCATTGTCCTATTGAAACATAGCGTTATGAAGGCCTCGAAGATAAGGCAGAGCAACTGGCCCTAACACATCAGAAATGTAACGGCTGCTGTTCAAAGTTCTCCATGATGTCGCCAAACACAAATGCGGCCATCATGATGCCGTAAATAGAACCTGGATTCGTCGTGCAGCGTCAAGGGTAGTCGAAGCCATGGTTACCGTGCTGCTGCAAACGTCGTCGAACTGTTCATGCAGACACTTGTCTTTCAAATGATGTCCATTTGTTGACTCAGGGTTCGTGCCAGAACTGTACAATCCCTTAAGGCCATGGGGATAACATACGTCTGTCTTCTCGGCTGTTAGTGATGGGAGCCGCTAAGATCCTGCACGGCGTTTCATATGACCGTCATGTACCCATCGATTCCATATTCTGCTAACAGTCATGGGATATCGACCAACGCGAGCAGCAATACTTCGGTATGATAAACAGCAATCAGGGTCGGCCGCAATTCGACCTCAATCAAACTCAAACACGTGCTGGTAGTCATTTCTCCTTCTTACACGAGGCATAACAAAAACTTTTTACCCAAGAACAACGCTTAAATTTAATTTTTGAATGAGAAACTTACTGTCGAATCTTTTGTTTTACACACATTGTAGATGTCGCTACCCCCACCTGCTTTGCATGAATGCGCTGATAAACTAATCATTTGCATACCACAGCGTGCTAGATCCGTGCTGCAAATTTCACGTTTATGCTGTGTCGCCTTCCTGGTGTAGCGATTAAAATGGCCAGTAGTGTATCTATAGCACAATTGTAACTTACATTTCACCTGATATCATACTTGCTCTGTCCTTTACCACAATCCATAACTGGTGACATATTTTAGTATATGCGAAACCCATTATTAAGATAGGAGCAATTAAAATCAGGATGAGCATATAGACTTCATAACTTCGCCAAATCCAGGGTTGGTGCCAATTTCGAACACACCAATATGCCTTGTATCGTTCTCCTACCTCTATATGGATCTGCAAATAATAACAAAATCAGTACAGTTTGCAAATGTGACAAAATTAATACAATCTGCAAAAAGAAGCATTTGTCTTGATAATTCAATAACGTGCCAAAATCAATTTAATGTTTAAACTGAAATCGGTAATGCTTATTTTTCTCAAAGAGTACTTTTTTTTTAATTCTAATTTATATTAATGCTGGTAAAAGGATAACTACTATAAGAAATGTTTAAAATATATTGGCGATCGTTTTTAACCACAACAAAATCCAAATGTATAAATAACTTTCGTAGAAATAGTATAGTATAAAACTTTAGTGTAAAACCGATTTCTTAAGCAGATTGCCTCAAATATGCCATCGAGCCTTGAACCACCCTACTGCATACCAGGTAGATAACTTATAAGTAAAATTTAGATAGCCTTTTTTTAAAAATTCATAAAATAATTTGAAAGCGTAAAGGGCGATTCTGCATTAGAGGGATAATCGGAAATTATAATTTTCTCTCAGAATTTTTTATGAGTATAATTATTTTTTTTCCCTGTTCAGATTTCGTGCTAAGATATAACAAGCATATTTCTATAGCTATCTTTCGGATAAAACCGAGAGAGAGAAAAATCGTGAAATAATATAAAATTTACTTGTGCTAATATGATGGGAAGAGCAGTGACGAATGAAAGGAACCATATAACCATGATAACGCGTCGAGCCTGTCTCATTGTGCATTGATATCTGGACTTCACTGGATGCATAATGGCATAGTATCTAGAAAATGAATAGATTATTTCTCAAGATTAAGAGTTAATACTCAATGTTCTTCTAAACTATATATATATACTATAAATCAATAATAATGTAAGATATTACTTGCACTGCAACAGCATTGTATGGATGGTCTTATTTAAAGTTTTGTAAGAAACATTCAGTTCTATGTGTAACTCCTTGGCCACACATTGAGCCGGTAATCCATTTCGGTCTTACGAATATTAAGGTATCTGAATCAAGTCCATCGCAAGTGATCAATTCACAATCGTAAAGCTCGAATACCCCATTTGGGGAAAAGGCCGGTTCCATATCTTGACCTTCCCATCTTCTCTTTCTTCCTCTTCTCATTTGTATAGGAATGAGTTACGATATTTGCCCCTTTTTATATTTTACGTTGTGCAAGTACGAAATTGTAAGCTTAAAATTACCTAAACGGTTTTAACTTCTACTAGTACGTTCGATTCATCCTAAAGAAATTACACTGGAAGCAATGCTCCTCTTGTTTAAATAGCAGCATATTAGTTTCCCTCTTTTTCTCCGTTTTGTCCATACACTATATAATGCAAATTTTTAGCACTTACTTAGAGGAGGAGACTTAATTGTATGCCACTGGTTAAAATTTTTTTTTTTGATGTTTGTGTTTTGTCACTTTTTGAGTTGTCTTTACTGTAATTATTAAGAGATTTTCCAGTAACATTGCATCAATTCATGGCAGTGATATTTTTTTTGAAGTATCAAAAACATACTTGGTGAGGTGGGAATTCAAAACTTACCTTTCGACACTCATCGACGTGAGTGTGAGTACAGAGCAGGTTGCGGAGACGTTCTGCACATAGTGGACAAATTTGCAACCAATTTCACCCAGTGCCCACGAATAGGAAAATAACTGTCCAAACTGAAATAAAGATATCGAGTTTCTTTCCTGTCTTAAACACAGAATTCATAAATTTAGTTTTTTATAAGCACAAAAGTTCAAGTTTATGGACAATTCTTTTTGCAGTAGGTAAAATTTTCCGATTCCCACCAAAAACAATGTTTTTAAAAAAAATTATTTTTGGTAATTAGCTGTATGAATTGTTTTTATTTTTTATAAATCATTGTTAACCCTGAAATTATTTTCTCACAATTTTATTAGATAGAAACGGCCCTAGTTAAACGTTTTCTACGATGGTCTACATGGGGTTACTTTAATAACATCCCATTGAGTTTATTTAATACAGTGGTTGAAAATAGTTGGAGTTCAAATCTTAATTTTTAAACATATTTTAGTAATACTAGGAAAAACTATCATTGTTTCAGAAATGAAACTTAAGGAACGTGTAAATATAATTAATATAAATTATGCTTTTTTATGCTATTAAATTCATAATTTTCAAATTTGAACCAATACAAATAGCTGGAAAAAGATCTGAGACCACAATGGTATTAATTAACAAGTTCGAGCCAACGCTTTTGGTAGGCAATTTCAGTCTTTTAATATTCTTTGTTAACCATTTGTCGTGGGCAAATTTTTAGGGATTGAAGCATTTGTAACAAAATCCGATTTTGGTTCCTCAGTTTATCTTTGCTCTGTACAAAGTTGTTGGAAAGTATGTCTTGATAACCTGCCTTTGTTCAGCTGAGTGAATTTGTTTTCAGCCTTTGTGAAGAATGAAGATTATATGAGTCTTAGTGCTCGTATTTAAATCTGCGCATATCGTAATCAAACTACTTCTTTTAAATCACTTCGATATTTTCAAAGTTTCTTGCCTTAAATCATGCCAATAATATCTTAATCGATCTGGAACGTCTAGATAATTATTTGCTCATCAGTAAACAAAAATTTGGCTTAACACCATCAACGTAAAGCAAACTTTAAGCATTCTTAAATGTGTTGTTTCAGCAATTTTGGTTTTGTTCTAAATTTCGAAAATTTTCAATGTCTAATTTTTTTTACATTTGATATCGTTTTAAGTGTAACAGGAAGTTGAAAATGTATTAATCACTGATTTAATTATGTGACGTCAAATATTAGAATTTACAGCGGTGATTGTGGTACAAACTGAAAAACCCTGAAAGTTTTATGAGTAAAAACTCGTAACAAGATATCAAATTATGTACTATTATATTTTATATAATTTTTGAACTAAGATTTATATCTAAATTACTTATCAATTACACTATTATACAATGTACACTTTTATAGTAACTAATTTAAGAAAAGTTCTTACAGGAATCGCAATATTGGATTTAAAAATCGCATGAATATGAATCATGATATTGGATTTTAAGAAGGCAAAGATACAAAACACGATATTGGATTTTTGAATCGCGTAAGTGTGAATCTGAATGCATGATTTTTTAAATTCAGCGAATACGAATAGCGACATCGGATTTTAAACTGACTTGAATATGAATCGCGATGTACGATTTTTAAATAACATGAATAAGATTCACAATGAATATCTTTTAAATTAGGTAAGTACGAAAATTGATGTCAGATTTTAAAATCGCGTGAATATGAATCTCAGTATTAGAGAATTCCGGCGTAGTTTCAAACATTAAAAACCATGAAAATCCGACAAACAAAATTTAAAATTGCTGAAGATTCACGTGTTTGAAAACTTCACGATTTAGCGAAGGCTTAGATTCTAGATTGCAGAACTTATTTCTTACTTTAAATTTTAAATTGCTGTGAAAATTTCGCAGGATTATAAGTTATGATTCGTGGAAGTCCACAAATCAATGGTCTTGAGATACGCGCAATTCCGCGAAAAAAATCACATGCCTGGCTACTAGTTTCTTTTCTTGACCTAGAGGGAGGATACAAAAAAACCGGCCGGGGTACACCCAGAATACAATCATCCCTGAATTTAGCTTTGACGAGCGTTTGCTTCTTTTTTTCTTTCTGTAATCTATTTTATTGTTCAAAAAATTGTGCACAACTGAGTTAAACATTTGAATTCTATCAAAAAGTTGCCTTTCACTGAAGTTACACTCTGAAAAAGCAATAAATTTTCTTTTTCTTTATCCATCAAACCACTTATTTTAATATATATATATACATAAAAATATGATCAGTTTTTTAGGAAAGTAATTGTCTATACATTTTATTTTGTTTACTCTAATATCGTCTCAGAATTGTATTTTTATTGTACTTTTGAGCCGTTGATGATAGTTAAATCTTTTTCGTTAAATTAGACACTAAACATAATAGTGGACCTTGTGACCATAATATTTCGTGTTTCTTTCTTTTCAATTTCTCTCAAATTACATTAAGTAAATAAATAGATAATTTTAAGGAAAAAAATATTTTTTCAAAGAGAAAAAAAATGTTTTTGTGAAATTCTATAAATCCCTTCAATGTTTAACTTTATATAAAATTAAATTTTTTTAAGCCTTAATTTCTAATTTTTAACTTCAAGTTTGTAACCCTGAATAATTATTTTTTTAAAAAAATTGCAAATTTCCTTTCAATGTTTTATTTTTATTTATTATTTTTTTTTAATTTTCAGACTCTGAAAAGTTATTATTATTATTTTCTTTTTGTTTATTTCCCTATTTTGAAACAAAAATAATGTAACTTTTTTTTTCTTTGATTAAAAATAGCTTTTAATGTCACCAAGACCATGTGACCGTAAAATTTCGAATTCCATTTTCGAGCAACTTTGTAAAAAAATATATCTAAATAAATAAATATTTTTAAAAAAAGAATTTTTGAAAGTGTATAGGTTATCGTCGTTCTATAAACATAGTGTTTCGTTTCGTTAATAGAGATGCGTTATTAACGGCCATCATAGACATTTTGACTTGAAGCTTCACTAATTCGTCGAACACCAAGATGTTTGTGATGGCCGCTAAAAAACACAACACAATACCATTAACAAAACGAAACATTATTGATATAGAAAAACGAAAATATATACACTTTCGAAAATAAATATTTTAAATTGTTTGTTTAGTAACACAGACATTTTTTACGATAAGTTCTAAAATAAAACGCGAAACATTACGAGAATTAATTTTTTTTCTCTTTGATATTAATGAGCATTTTGAATACATATTTTTCTTCTAATACTTCATCACCAGCTTTTGAAATCAAGTACCATATTATTTGGAGTCACCTCCTTTATGGTTCATAGTTACTTCCTCTTTATTTTCTTGCATGTACCATCGAAAGAACTGATCTCTGAATCACTCATTCTGTGATAAAAAGCATTAACAAAATAACAAGTCTAAACTAAATAATTAATTCTTAGGTTATGCGAACGATTTCACAAGCAACAACGGCTAGAATCTATCGGTATATTTCCAAGTTTTTTTCAACAACCATTCATCTCCAGGATATGGCATGTTTTCGAGTCACAAAATATACCATACCAATTAGAAGGACATGGATTTTTTTATATCATGACTGTGCATTTCCGTCAACTAAATTTAAAAATGCAAGAATCAAATTTTAATTAAAAAGTGGAGATGACTGGTTTTTGAACTCAATTATATTTACGCCTGAAAAAATAAATTTTAAATACTTTGTTTAATTTAATGTAGGAATTTTAAAAAAGATATTGAAAGGTGATTTACATACCAAAATGTCACTTTTGTAGAAAAGAACAAAAAAAAAAAAAATAATAATAATACCTTAACTGGGACACATATTACGACGACCAAGAGATCTGCTGTTGCAAGAGATGCAAGGAAGACATTGCTGATGGTCCTCATTCTTCGGAAACTGACAACTGTGTATATAATTAAAATATTCCCGATTAACCCAACTATCAGCGTTATTCCATACACAAGAGCTACGGGGATAAGCTCATCTAAAAAGTACATGCCGTAGGACTCGTCTCTGTCATATTCCATGTAATCACTGAAATTCTCGAAAACGCTCAAATTCCAGTCTGAAAATGGAAAGTAGTTAATTGCATACTGAATATACAAAATCGTATTTTTTTAAAATATTTTTTCAATGTAAACCTCATGCGTATATCGTTATTATAAGTAAAAATGTGTTAAACGAAAAAAAAAAAATTTATATTATTCAAATGGCGATAGGGTACACTTAGTGCTAAGTATGAATAAAGCTAACCAACGCGAATAAAACACGAAAATGGATATATTATAGTTTTAGTTCTATAAACAGGAATATACTTCTTTGTCGAACTATGAATAAATAAAGCTGAACAAAATGAATAAAGAACAAGCAATGGTACAAAAATGGACATACTATTTCTCATTGTCGAACAACAAATAATATTTCTAACATCAGAATTTGAAATTTCAAGCATTATTTTTAATTTTCAGATAATGTGGGAACAAAGCAAATTAACTGTCGGAAAAAAGGTTTATAAGGATGATATAGATGTTTTTAGTGAGTAAAAGCTACTAAATATAGAGTTGTTTAGATAAGGGGGGGGGAAAGAAGTAACATTATTGGTTAAGTGATCTGCTTAAACAGTATGCGATTTTGATAATATAAGTAGTACTTGTGATTGCTGTTAGAGTTTTCTAATCATTTTTGATGAACTTTTGAAAACTTCGATTTTTTAATCTTTAATTTATCTCTGAATAAAAAATTTATTTTTAAACATGTTATTAGGCTCTTAAATGAACAATCTATTCATGTATCTTTTTACGTTTAGTGTAATATATACCATTATTGTTAGTCGAAATTTGAAATTTTATTTTAATAATTTTACAATTGCTTAAGCATTTATACTAAATTTCTATTTATGAGAGTTTAGTGACAAAAAGAAATTGTGTTTGAAAATTATTCAAGGCATTTTATTAGGTAATTAAATAAATATTCTATCGAGATACTACCTGTATATAATGAAAAAGTAACAACGTAAAAATCATAATAGGAAGTTGTGTTTAAGTAATTTAAATATTTTAATGGCTTTTCTACAGCTAGTAGAAAAAACAGTGACAGTTGTTCCATACGATGTGGAAGAACTTGGTGTATGATCCTGAATATTGAGCTTGTTTGTTTAATTTAAAGAACATTGAGACCAGTGTACATTTTTCAGACTTAAAAGCCTACCTTGTTTTAAATCTTTTGATTTAAAATTCGTATTATCAAACAAATAATTGAATTTGAATCAAACAAATAATTGAAATAATAATCACCTTCAAAATCCATCGCTTTTCTTTCATAAATCATTTGTTCGAAACCTTATTTCGCATAATCATATGATAAGATTATCCTGCAAAGAAAATTTTGTTAGTTATAAAAGAAATAGTAGCGTAAAAACATGCATAAAAATCACAAAATCTAATAAACTTAACTAGTAGTAGACTGATACTATGTGTATATATGCCCCTGATGTATGCCTCTGATATTTTAAAACAATAAATAACTGGGGCCTGCATGCCCGAGTGTTATTGTCCTTCCACCAAATCCCGTGTATCATGAACGTACCTGGTTTATTCAATTCTTCAATTTNATGGGACTAACTCTAAAACACCACTATACAGGGGTTGAGCAAAGTAATGGAAACACTTCGATACTGTGACGCTTATCGTCACTCAAAATTAAAATCACTAGAAAAGGCTAAAATGAGATTTCTAGAACATCTCAAAGTCTTCGATTAAATAAAACTACCGTGGGAAATCTCCATTGGCAAATAGTAACTTAAATACGGATAGAGTAATTCAAATAAACAACTAGGTTAAAATCTCACAATGTCATTTCCCTCATCGTATTAATCCCATCATGGGACTAACTCTAAAACACCAATAACTTTTGTACTCAATAACTAAAACTTGACCTTTCCGCAAATTTGTAACTTTCTATCACGCAAAAAATTATGATATAAAAGCAACCGAAGGAAAGGGTTAGGAGAGCAATCAAAGTGAGTCTACTCTAGGCAGATATCGAAAGTAAACCATGTATAAACTTAGTAAGTCTCTACACCTATTCTAAAACAATTTAAGCACTAATGTTACAATGCCAAGTAGCTTTATTTTGTAATTGCTAATGCTAAAATGGTTTGATTTTAAATAAAATATTATTTGTTTAAATTTAAGACGAGTAAATTTCCTTCATTTAATTTAATTATAATAACTATATGATAAGGCCTAAAAGCGCCACATTACACATTTTTTTGTTGATATTTCTTTAAACTTACTTTAGAGAATCAGTTTGTTAGTTTAGATCGTGCGATTTCTAATGTATATTAATGAAATATAAAGCTTTTTGAAGTTAGAGGAACTCTCAATAATTACAAACGGAAAACTTTATTTATTGTAAATATATTCGTAACTTGCAACTATTATTTTAGTTATCGTTAGCAATAATTGCACAAAACTTCGTAAACCTAGTTTAAATATTTATGGAGATTATGGATTATTTTGTCCAACCCCTGTATATTGTAATATTCAAAAAGGTAGGGATATACTGGGTGATATGTAGACAAAAGCAATAATACAGTACAGAAATTGTCATACTATAGTTTCGGTTCTATAGACAAGAATCCTCCTCAATGTCTAAGCACACATACACAAAAAATAAAAAAGAGAATGTTATTGGTGTCTAGACACTTAGGAAGGTTCTTTTTAACAGAACCGAAACTGTAGTATGACCATTTCTGTACTTTTAGCCGTGCTTTATTCAAGTTTTTTTTCCTTCTTCTCTTTAATATATTGTAATATGTTTTAAAGGATTAATTGAATTTCGTTATGAAGTGTTTGGGTAAGCTTTTGACACTTTTATTATTTTTTAAAAGTTGAGAGTGTTGGAGCGATCCATTTACCTTGTTGTTTGGCTTGAATTTTATTGCAAAAGTTTGGTTTAATCGCTCTCCGTCAAACTCAACTGAACGGACGTATCGAGGTACGTCCTTGAAATAAAAATTTCCAATTTTAAATTTGGCAATCCAAACAAGAGCGGTTTTTTCAGCTGTGAATCCATCTCCCTACACAGCACAAATGTCACAAGCAGCTTTTGCCGCCTTAGAACCTTGATTATATTCACGATTTTAAAAGATTTATAAACATTTTATTCACGTTTCGTTTTATTCTTTCTTCCTTTTAGTTATTTTTTTGTCGTCTAATATTCTTTTATTCTAAAGAAAAAGATTCGAATATTCTTAAAATATAAAATTGCGAAATATTCAACAAATGCATAGTATTTCAGTATAATGTAATGCTGACATAAATTACTCTTTTGCTTATTTTATGAGAATGGAAATCTGATTTCGACCAGAAAATAGTTAGTTTAGTTTTACATAAATATGCAACCTGGCCAGAATAATTTATTATTTTAATAATCCCCATTAAAATGAAACAACGTCAAACATTAAAAATAATTATCTTATAATTATCAAGTTTCTATTTTTATTTTCATTAACAATGTTGATTTTTATGTATTTTTTGTGAACATCATGATGTTTTTAGATTTTGTTATTGACAAAATAATGAGAAAATAATAAAATGTAGTAAAATTAAATAAAATCGAAAGTTTCTTTGATTATTTTCGGCATTCAGCTTTTTCTTGGAATAAAAATTGTGTCAAGATTTCACAAAATATAGTTGATGTGGTACTATTTATAAACTTAGTTTAATTTTTAAATTAGTAAAACATTTTAAAAACTGACTTAAAAACTATTTTAAATATTATTTGAGATAAATATTTTATTTTTTATTATTTTATTATGTCTTACTTTTTTAATTTATATTACTATCTTATATCTTATATTATTATTTTTTGTCTTATATTAATCTGTTGGGTTGGTGATTTCTGTAATGATTTAAAAGAGAGTTTCATTCATGGTCACTCATAGCTTTGCCGTCGACTGTATGTACCATTGCAGCTTTAAAAAAAAAAAAACTGGTTCAAAAAAAAGAAAAGAAAAAGGTATTAATAGCTATCATTGTTTTCCAAAAAAAGAATATTTTATTAAAAGTTTGAGTGCAAGAATGTTAAAATAATTAGTTGTTCAGATTATTTTTTTTTCACGAATATGCTCCGAACATTTCAATAAAGTAGATTTTGTGAGAGATTTTAGAATTGAATAATTAGTTTACTCTTCCTCCCCTCCCCCACAAAAAGTGCATTTTAAGCCAAATGTTATTCATGTTATTCTAAGTCAATAAAACTTACCTTTTTTAAACTATGTTAACAATTCTAAAGGAACTAAGCACAACAGGGAAAAAGAACTTCGGAAAAAGTGAAATTAAAAAAAAAATAATAATAAATAAATTAAAAGAACAGAAAGTTACGATAACATGAACGAAAAAATTTATTATTTATTTATTTCACATAAAAAATAAGCTAAGTACTTGCATTAAATTTCAGATTTTTTTTCCTATTTCTTTGCCACAATGAGCGAGGAATAAAACTCTTCAGGAATCTTTCTTTCATTGGATAAGTTTAATGCAGCATTGTCATTGTTTATATAATAACTTAAACACAAAAATGGTTTCTATTTCCAATATTTAATTTTTTTAAACTTTATTCCTTATTTTCCAATTTCAGCCCCTCTCCAAAAAAATCAATTCATTAATTTTCTTTTACCTCACAACTTGCACTTAAAAGCTATATAAGAATCTTTGAATCGTTTCGCAAATTTGTTTTAATGCTGCTTGAAATATTAAAATTTCGATTTTTTAATCTTAAATTCGATAATTTATCACTGAATAAAAAATTTATTTTTAAAGTATGTTATTAGGCTCTTATATGAACAATCTATTCGTATATCTTTCTATGTTTAGTGTAATATATACCATTATTGTTATTCAAAATTTGAAATTCTATTTAAATAATTTTACAGTTGCTTAAGCATTTATACTAAATTTCTATTAATGAGAGTTTAATGAAAAAAAAAATTGTGTTTTAAAATTATTTAAAACATTTTATTAAGTAATTAAATAAATATTCTACCCAGATACTAAGAGTATATTATGAAAAAAGTAACAATGTAAAAATCATAATGGGAAGTTGTGTTTAAATAATTTAAATATTTTTATGGCTTTTCTACAGATAGTAGAGAAAACAGTGACAGTTATTCCATACGATGTGGAAGAACTTGGTGTATGATCCTGAATATTAAGTTTTTTTTTTTAATTTGTAGAATATTTAGACCAGTATACTTTTTCAGACTTAAAAACATGCCTTGTATAAAGTCTTTTGATTTAAAATTCATATTACATTAATCAAACAAATAATTGAAATATTAATCACCTTCAAAATCCATTGCTTTTTATTCATAAATTGTTTGTTTGAAACGTTACTTCGTATAATTTTATGATAAGATTATCCTGCAAAGAAAATTTTGTTAGTTGTAAAAGAAATAGTAGATTAAAAATATGTATAAAAATCACAAAATCGAATAAAATTAACTAGTATTAGACTGATACGCCCCTGATGTATGCCTCTGATATTTTAAAACAATAATTAACTGTGGTCCAAAACGATAAAATCAACCAAATTTTAAACATTGTTGGAACTTGCATGGCAGAGTGTTATTGTCCTTCCCCTAAACCCTGTGAATTATGAACGTGCCTGGTTTGTTCAATTATTCTTCAATTTGGCAAGAGTTTACAAGCCATTATTTATGTTAAGAAAAGAAGCTTATGTATGTAAATAACTTTATCACCCATCTACCAAAAATACCACCACACGCACAACACAATATATATAATTATTATTATCATTATTATCTATACTTACTAGATAAAGTGACCAGTATCCTCAAAAAATTAAAATACTGGTACAAGATTTCTAAATAAACATTCAAAAAATCCCTCAATTATCATTTAAAAAATTATTACTGTTAGGGAATACCTGCGACAGATCTCTGTTCCAAGAATATTAATTTGGAACGATAAAGTAGTTTGTTTTCAAATATTCGTATAGAAATTTCATCACCAATTTTTTATTTTTTGAAGATACTAGTCAGATTTTTTACTGGAATAACTACCTTAAAACTTGTTTTTTGTAGTCAATTTTATAAAAAAAATTGAATTTCGCTCCATATTATATAGTTTCCTTGACGTGGTAGCTCAAGAGGTGGAACGTCCGCCTTCCAATAAGGCGACTCCCAGTGATGACTGGTCGATTTGAGCATTGACCACAGTGCTGGCGTAAAACATCCTCAGAGGTAGACGGATCAGGGGTTAGAGTCCCCTTGCTGTCAGCCTAACCGTGGGAGGTTTTCCTCTACATGTAACGCAAATGCTGATTAGTTTCATGAAAAAAGTCCTC